AGCTGAGTTGGTGCTTTCACACGTCTCGTGCAGCGAAATGCGCTACCTATTAATGTCAAAGCACAACCCACTTTTAACAGATCTCTTTGATAGGCCTAAATTATTGCGACTTGCTGCCATTCCATTGTTCCACGGAGGAGGAGAGAAGGGAGCAGCTTAATATACCACTAAAATAGCGTTCTCTCCTGGTATGCAAGTGCCTTGGTTTAATGCCTAAACATGGTATCTCACTGTCCAGGTTGGCAGCACTGCCAGTTCATACGCTCTGTCCTGAAGGTGAACTTTGTGTCACCCTGTAGTGCCTCCTTTCAGTCAGTTTAGAAATAGTGAAGGTCAAACACCCCTCATTTCAGGCTGTCTTGCTGAACTCAGTGTGTAAGGGCAGTTTAGAGGGAAAATGAAGGAAAACATTGCTAAGAATGCCTTAAGTCTTTCTGCAGGGTGGAAATGTTGATCTATTATTAATTCCCTTGCCCCCACCCCCAGATTCTGTACAAGGAGGGTGTGATGTTGTACATATTGAAGTCTAGGCCAAAACTCCCCCTGATTTTAATGGGAACAGGACTGGGCTCTCAACACTCATCCCAGTCCATTGGAAAAGACAGCAATCTGTCTCCATAAAGGCTCTGCCTTAAAGAGCAAGCAGGAACAGGTTTTCCAGGACTGCTGCTCTATTTGCTCATTGCATGGGTTACTGGAGAGGGCAAGGGACTGCTTTCGGATCACTGTACCTACCCAAAGCATTTTAATTGATTTGTGTCTATGATTGTTCTAGGTACCAGTTTCCTAGGAACGTACCTGGAGAGCTGCGCAAAAAGGTATAAAGAGAACAGAGCTTAGTTCAGACTGAATGAGCCAAAAAAAAAAAAGAATCCGAAAGGAAGGGCTGAGAGCGGAAGAATGACTATTTCCAGACATAATAATTGATTTTTTGTCCACATGTGAGTTCACAAATAGGGTGTGCTTGTACCTTTATCTGACTGCAGATACCAGTTGGGTAGTTAACAGAGCAAAATGATAAGCTGATCCCCACCTGCAATTCATTTCTGCAGGCCAAAATCTACAGGTGCTGATTTGGAAGATACAAGCTATGAACCCATAGGTAGGGACATGAACAAGTACCGGCCAAAGAAGTGAGAGTTAAAGGGAAGAAGTCCAACCTTGAAGATGCGGATGAGCTTCTTTTAAAATGTACTCCTTGTTTAGAGTCACTGGCCGATGAGATTTTATTTTTCAGATTCTCTCACCATGTCATTAATATTGTTGACTGAAAGACATGAGAAGCCAGTCCCTGAACGTGCTTTTTGCAGTTGATTTCTGGAGCTACCATGCTTTCTGCTGTAAGGGCATTTGCATCTGCTATGTACCAACCACCTTTGGTAGGATCAAGGGCCCGGGAAAGCAAACAGGCCAGTCACAAAAAGGAAACACCTGGGAATCCTGTTTGGATTCATTGTAATGTGATTAGGGAAGAAGCCAATCCCCAACTGAAATCAACCACCCGGCAAAGTTCTGCAGGATCCCGTTTCATGCTAACAGCATTACAAACGTGTAGACTTGCACTGGACACTTAACTTTCATTTGTTAATGCTTGTCGGGGACTCAGAAATGCCAGCGTAGAAATCAGATTATGAGAACAGTGGCTGGTAATTGGAGGGACCATGTAAAACTGGCCTGGTTCCCTCCCCTGACTCCAGGGCTTCATTTGCACTTGTTTTTCTCTTCTCTTGCTAACTTTTTCTGACCCCAGCGATGCTTTCCTTCCCACTCCTTCTACCCGCTGCAGCTTTTCCTGCTGCCCCCTCAGCCCCTTGAGACCACTTCCTTTCCAGCAACCTTCCCAGCTGCTTGTCCTCCCTCACTATGTTAGGGCACACTCTTTTGAAACATGAGTTGGTTCCATTATACTGCCTGACCTAACCTTGTTTATGCCAACTGAGCCGGAGCGGATCTAAAAGGATGCTTGCAAATGGTGCTGGACTGGAAAGGTGCTAATTTGGGCCACTGTAGGCCTAGGACTTCATGTACAGCTCCTTTGGCAAATGATGCTGTTATCTAAGGATGATTTCACTTTATTATTTGTACTGAGCCCAGGCACGAACCAGGACGTCATTGACCAAGGTGTTTATACACACTCTGAAGATGATCTTTATTCCCAAATAGAATCCATAACTCTGATGTTTTCTTAAGTACATACAGCAGCTTTTTAATTGCCTAGACAAAAATGTGTTCTCCTTAATTCACCAGTCTTGTCATTCTCCCTCACCTTTTCAACTAAAAGATTAAACTTAAAATATTTAAACTTCTTCGCCATCCCTCCCTTTGTATAAGTGAATGTAGGTATTACATAAAAAGCCAGTGTTTCGCATACTTGTATACGAAACTTGTATACTGTATGGAAGATACCAGGCAGACGCACGATCCCGTTTATTGGGCTTGCATGGCATTCTTCATATGAAAGCATCCTGGTGTGTTTGTAGAAGTTTTTTCTCTATGCAACAAAAAGATCTTATAGGGAAGGCTTTCCAAATACAACATTTGTTTTGCAAGGAGGGAAACAAATGATCAAAGAGAACAAAGCTATAGGCAGGAGTTTAGTGTGAATTTAATTCAGTCGCTCTGATCTTTGGACTCTTACATAGTTTGCCTCATTATCAAATATTTTGCAAGGAATGATATAAACAGTCTCCTGTTAAAGACTGCTCCAAGTGTAATGTGATCCAGAGGAGAGATGCCCAGCTGATGGCAGCAATGATAGATGTAAAAAACATGCCGACGCAGTCTATTCCTCCTAGATTGAAGTAGAGGCAAAACCAAGCAAAGGTTTCCTCTTAAGAGATAGCAGCGAAAATGATCCTGAATGTTGGTTTCATTAGAGGTCTCTCCTTGAAGGAGTTACCACTGAGTAGCCAGCCAAGTCTGCTTCTAGATAAACATGAGCCAATGAACCAATGAGTGGGAGGAATAATTGCTCAATGAGATTTGTATTGTCAGGAACAGCATAACCTTCTTAGGGGCATCTTTGTTTTTTATTATCATTGCTATGGCAACCTTGACCAGAGGTGCCTTTTGGGTGGGGAGTTTAACCCCAGAGACTGATTAGAACAGGTCAGCCGGTTTCAAACTGAAGTCACCACTTCCTTTCTTGTGTGATAGCTCCCTTCCCTCCCTGGCCCTCCAAGAGGGGATGGTAACCACCCATCTGTCCCACCTCTGCCCGGCCAGGGGTGCCCTAGCTGTGCGCTCAGCAGCTGGCACCCGGCTCCCTTCTCACGCAAGACCTTTGGAGGTGGGGGCACCCTGGCTGGAGGGCTGCCACTCCAATTTCTTCAAAGCCCCAGTCGTTTCAGCTCCTTCCCCCCCTTCCTCAAGACCACCCTGCAAGCCTGCGTGACATGATGAGAGAGCAGTAAACTGCACTTGAAAGCCCAGCTCTGCGTTTCGGTGGGAAACTTCTCTGCAATTGCAAAGCGCCCATTAAAGCGCAGGTTGTTTCCTCGAAGCATGCCCAAGCCGGGAGCTTGTAAAGCCCTTCGGGGCTTCTAGCAAGCCTTCCCTTTTGAAATGCTGGGTTGGGGGGAGGCTCGGAGATGAAAGGCTAAGTCTCCCTGGCTGTGCATTTACAGGCTATTGTCTTCCCCGCAGGATAGTTATCCCTCCTCACTTGTGTTATTGCAGTTAATCCACTTAAATGCCCCTGGATTTGCAGATGAGCTGGATTCTTTGCTCCCGCGATTAAGGCGCTTTGTCTGGAGGAGAAAAGGCTGCCGCTGTCCGAGTGACAACGAGTGCCGGGCGATGGCAGGGGCTCGCGGGCACCTCGTGCCCATCCGCAGCGGGGGGCGGGGGTCTCGCCTGCCCGGCCCGGAGGACGAGGCGCTCAGCGGGCAGCAGCCGGGAGCGTCACTCACTCGGCCACGGCGCCTCTCCCCGGGCCCCGGTTGGGGAAAGCCGGAGCCCGGGCCGGCCGCTCCGGGGAAGCCAGCGCCGAGTCCCGGGGAGCCCGGGCTCATGTGCCAGGCGCACCCCGGGACATCGCAATCGCCCTTGTGCGCAATCCCCCGCACCCCCAACTTATTGGAAAGAAGGAAAAAAACTCTGCCCCCCTTTTCCTGCCGCAGCCCTCGCCCGAGACGCCCCTTGGACTGCAATCTGCGTGCACACGGACATGCACGGGATGCATATGTGTCCCCCCCCAGCCCACCCCACCCCCTCCAGTGCCAGCCAGCCAGGACTCGCCCAAATCATGGCGATGCCCGGTGCCTTCCCGGCGAGGCAAGGTGGATGCCTTCAGGTTGCAGCCTGATCTGCGCAGAAGCTCCCACCCCCTCGCCCTCCCTCGCCCCCGCCGCAGAGGTGCCGGCCCGCCGGCTGCAATCAGATCCCCGCTCCCCCGAGCCCAGCCCGGCTGGCGCGGGGCGGTGCAGGGTCCCCCCGCCCCGGAGCTGCCGCAGGAAGAAGCCAGCCCCCCGCGACGTGTTGTTTGCGGCGGTCCGCGGAGCGCCCGGCCGGGGAGGGGGAGGGAGGCAGGCAGCCAGGGAGGGAGTGCCGGAGGGAGGCGCAGGGGGAGGCGCCGCTATATTCCCCTCCTCGGGATTATTTCCCACTCCACTCCGGAGCAACCCCCCCCAGCCCGGTGCACGGTGGAGACGCAGCCGCCTGGCTCCGACCCCCCCTGGAAGGAGGCAGGAAGGGGGCATCCATCTCCCCGCCGGCAGGAGCGCGGGTGGCTTTGCAGCGCGGGGGGCGCGCAGGCGATG